ACCTTACATTAGATGTGATCTAATAAGGTCATCGTTTTGTGTGTACGTGAACTCTTATCCCATGTGGACACTATTCACCGTATCCCGAGGAGTAATATAAGATTACCTTTCCACATCTCCGCCATACTCGACCACCCGATCCCGTCACCGCGATCCCATATAATATTCTTGCTCTTGTTAATAAATTAATAATAATATGTGTACATCCGTAAAGTTTACGGCGTAGTATTATTATAGTGGCGCATAACGCTGTTGAATACGACGTGTTCAAACGCACCCGTGTATATTATAATCCCATGGTGTGGGCAACTCCGGTACGTATAATCTAATTACTTCGTCCATGTGAACGAATGGCAACACTAAATATAATTATAATACGACGGGACTAAATAGTGCGTAGGTACATAATATTGTTTTAACAATAAGACATGAGTATCTTTAATATTATGCCCATTGTGCCTGCATAATACTATTTCACTCGATAGGTATCGACATTTATTTTGTTTCTTGTGTATCCGATCATTGTACAGGCGCGTAGTATATTTTGAGAATACAATATGACCAAAATATTATCAATGTAAAAATAAAACATTATTAATAGTTTGTTATCTGGACAAATATTATGTATAAAAAAAAATTCAAAAGCACCTGGTAAAATTTAAACTTTTTTTTTTATCTAGAAAAAGAAAAGAGAAAAATTTGTAGTTGTTTGTAATACGGCACCCCGTATTTAAAACAAATTCATGTAATATGTTTTCATGTGTGAACAAATAGCAGATATACGTTTTAATAATTTAATATTTCAGGGTAAATAACTAAAACGGTATGTAAGAGAGTTCGCTATAGTTTTTTTTTTTTTTTTTTATACTGAATATTATAACACATCACAAAATCATCTCTTTTTTTCGCATAGCCATTTTAACTTAACTGAAGTAATACAAAATGTAATGATATTATCTATTTGAGATGTTTTATATTTTGTGACTATTTAGAATATAATCATATTTAAAATATGGTAGTACAAACATAAGTAAATACTATAATTTATAAGTTATATTATTATTGAATGTTTTATTAAAAAATGTATTTATCAATCAAATATAAATAAATGACAATATTTTTCTCATAACAGAAATAAATAGATAAAATTAGATTCATATATATATATAAGATAGTCACTAAAAATAAAAACAGTTTTAAAAGGTAAAGTATTATTATTAAAATATTTTAAGTGACATATAACTTTAATAGACCACAATAGTAATAGATTTCAATCATTCAACGCAAATATTAGAGACGTGTTAATTAATATAATATATGCTACAGAAAACCTTATGACATACAAGTATGGGTCATATTAATAAAATACTATATCGACCGAAAAATTCGTCTATACATAATATATTAATATTCATACTCGTTGTAAAATAAATATGCCATTATTTATTTATTTTTCCGGTCAAAATGAAGATTTCAACTGTCATGATATTATAATTAATATAGGGCATATGCATATTTTTGTTATATGTGTATGATGTGTATACATAATAAAGAAAACTTGATTTACAATGAGTTTCAACAATTTTTTTTATAACACATAGCGTAAATAAACATACCTCAATAAATTTCAATTTTATTAACCAATTGAAACATGTGTATTTTAAAAAAATATATATATATATATATTCCATTGTATACAAGTAAGCACACATTATACAAACATTACAAACCATTGTTAATATTCATCTTTCCATAATTGTGTTAAAATATTGCGTGCTATATTAAACTGTATAACTTACAACTTTCCCCGTTCATATGAATAATGTTTGTTGAAATTGTATTATAATATTTAATGGAGGAGGAGGAAACAAGGTCGATTTACGAGATATTTTCATCTCGTTCAAACAATAATGTACATTTTTTGGAAATAATATTTATCAATACTCATGGAGTTGCATATACATATAAAACATTGCAAAAATAATACACGAAACGCAATTGGTTTTTGTTTACATAAATCACCATGTATTAAATATGAAATTATAAAAAAGCTACTGTTTTTTTTGTTGTTGTTGTTGTTGTTGTTGTATTTTTGCATGTATTCAGCTGCAATTACTGCTTGGTATGTTACTTTCAATAAAAATTTAAACTTTTTTTTTTTTACTACACGCAATGTTTTTTGTCCACGGTGTCACATTTTAATACCGTATTTCTGAACACCTCTTAGAAACATGTTTCGTTGTATCAATCATGAGTATAAAGTCTATTGGTTATTTTGAGAGAGTCGAGAACGTTAAAAATACAGCTGACATTTTCTGTATGTTACCGGACGTTTTGATGCCAATCCACCAATATATTTTATAAGTAAAGCAGATGTGTGTTAGGATAGTTATTATTTTCGTTGAAAAATCAAGTTTTTAAAAAAAAAGTTTATTTCATTAGCTACTGATCATAATATCGATATACCTATTTTACTAAACATGAAGCTTATAAAAAATGGTAGAAGGCAGCTGGAAGTATTAAAATACTAATATTTTTTCAACTTACATCAATACAAGATATAATTATTTTATTTTTTTATTGATTTCAGAATTATTATATTAAGTAAAAGTGACGATCTTGAACTTATTTTTGTAAAATATATTGTACAATTATAATTATTTTTTTTATTTATTTTGCGTTTAGTATAATGTATTTAAACAAAAAATTATGATTTAAATCAGAGTGGAATATAAATTAAAAATACCAATATCCAAAATGAAATCTCTTAAAAAAACCTTTTTTTGATTTTCTTAAGAACCTAAACTGGAACCAGTACCAATATTTGTTGCTAATAAACTACTCGGTCTTTCCGGTTCCGCGAATTTATTTAGCTATTTTATATATTTAAGTCATGATAATCGATTTATTAAATTTGGTTAATACTTTTAATATATACATATATTTAGATTTTAATCTATAACAGTTCTTGAAAATAATAAAATATGAGTAGATACCAAAATAAAAATTTATAAATAATAAGTGTTGTAATTTTCCCGTCAGCTAGTCAAAAACGTCTAACGTTATTATTATTTTATAATCATGATGACGTAAAACTAATTAATAAAATGATTTGATAATCGTTTAAGTTAACAATCATAAATAAGTACCCTTATGAATTGTTATCAGTTTGTAACATAAACTTATGATTAATATTCCTAATCTCTAAGTATTGTTATTGACTGATATCGGAACAAAAACTTTTATTATGTTACAATTTTAAAATCTGGAATAATTTTTTTTTTAAAGAACCTGATTTTATTTTAATCAAAACCGAATAAAACGATTACGGTTTCATGCCTTAATTTAAATAAAATAAGTAATATATGAAATAATATAGTACATTTAACAAAGTAAAATTGTTTAGTTAATTAATTTTAATACAAGTCATAATATTGAATTAATTAATGTGTAATATAATATTATATGAACATTATGAACATTAATTAATATTAAATATTAATGCACTTAAAAATAGCTCCTACCTATCATTTTTTACACTTAAAGCTCGATGGAAACAATAATATTATCATGAATAATAACAACCAGATTTAGAATAGATATAGTCGTTATAATATATATGACGAGTAAATAAATTAATCTAATCCAACCAGTTTATCTGACTCAACCCAAGCCACTGATCGATTATATATCTTCTCAGAAAAAATATTTAATCTTTTCTAATTGTAAAAATAATTTCACATTTAATAATAACTGTAGAATACGGATAACAAAATTAGAAATACAGTAAATACTGGGGAAAATTATTAAATACTTATTTATTGACATGAGAAACTAAGTAAGAAGATAACTAAAGTTTAAATGGATAGCTAATTAATCAATGTTACTAACTATGAAGCGATTATTTGCACAGATGTCGGTCGCAAAATTATATCCAACCGTCAATCACTTCAACGCAAATACGCGATGTCATAACGGTGAAACAACGTGCATTATTAGTAAATCGCAAACAATATTGAGTACTTACTATTTAGTTCACTTGTTTACTCTTAAATTTCAAATTTAAAGTCTTTTAAAATTGGTAAAAATAAAAAACAAATCTTTGACATCACAGGATATTTGAGATGAGTCTAAATATCCTCCTACAGTTTAAGACCACCAATCCAGACCAATGGTAAAAATTATATAAGTTTTGACGGAATATTTGTTTTTATTTACATAAATAATTATGTAAAAACATATTAATACAATTATTTTGAATAAAACCGTATTTGCATTCGATGACAGCGGGTTCGTATAGGTATACGTATTACCTACTATATTATTTACTTTACCTACCTAACAACTAGAGCTGAAATTTTCTAATTATTTCTATTCGTCAAATTCTTAGCGTTGGCATTACACTGTTCATTTATAAATTATAACACATCTAAAAGAACTTATATTGACAGTGTTTTCATTATATAAATTAACGAACCTCCAATGACAGCCAACCAATAGTCGTGCTGATGAATAAAATGACGTCATATTCACATAATTCGTATAATTTTCGATAGATGTATATAGGAAACGTGAGTCATTATGCTAAATTATGGTCACCGTTAATAAAGCTTGTGATGAGTTAATTTAAAACAACGGTGAACATAAAAATAAACAACAAACGAAATTAATGAACAAATTTATTATATTATTATTATTTTGTCACACACAACAGCGAGAGGTAAAACACTTTACGGAGCGTTTTTAATTTGCCAATCAGTAGCATTGGACCGATATAAGGGTAGAAACCACTCTAAACTTTTGTTCGGCGACCCTTCGGTCTTTGGGTTTACCTATATAATAATATATACTATATACATATAATATGCGTAACTGTCCTGTGGCCGCATGGACCGGAAAAGGATAAAGGGAATTGTTTTGTTTTTATTGTTATTTTTTTTTCGTATCGTCATTATTGTTTTCCCCGTTTTCTGTGGTATACAACAAACAAAACACCTTACCCAGACCACAGCACGAATTCGATGTTGTCTCCGTGCTTCTCCTTCATTGCCTTCACAGCGGATTGGACCAACGTCCACGGCGAATCGCACCCGTAGTCGCCCAGTCTACCGCCACCGGATGGTAGACTGGGCCGTTCCATGACCAAAAGCTCCGGATCGACCACCGACCGCTTGCAACCTAAAAATCCAAACCATTTATCTGAGTCATTTATATATTATTTTAAATAGTGACGACTTATATAATAATATAAGGCTTAACATTAATAACTGACAAGATAACATATTATTTACTATCTACGTAATGTATTTTATTCATATTGAGATAATAATTTATTTTTTATTTTTTTAATAGAATAAATTTGAAAACAGTCATAGTAACTAAAATTAACATATTATATTAATAAATAAAAATAAATTAGAATGAATGTTATATCATATTTAGTTGATTATACGAGTATTTTACATTTATTTTTTACGCAGTTCGAATATATTTGTGTCATATAATATGAGAACTATGATTACAGATCACAATTTTATCGACTTTAAGCAGTGAATATTAACTCTATTTATATACGCCCATAACAAACTAAAGGTTTTCAATTTATCAGATGATACTGTTTACACAAAATATTATTGTACACAATCATTAAAAACTGAAAAAGTTTCAAAAATATACATTACTATGGAAATGCTATAGTACATTTAGTGAAATCGACAAACTTTTATAAACTTAACTCTATAATCAAAAATATAGTTGCTGTTACTTAAAAAAAAAAAAAAATAAATAAAAATAATATTTATTCATTAAGCTCTCGTGATTCAATCAAAAGCATTGTTGAGATAAATTCATTATTAAATTCACCAACAAAAAAGTATCGATGTCTGCAATTATTTTTTTGGCCCAAAGCCTGTTTCTAAGGTTCTATTGACTGTGTATACATTTTAAATTTATTGTTCTCGAAGAGTAACAATTTCTCTGGGAGTAAATTTATCATTATTTATTTGGCATCACTGTAGGAAAATGTATAACAAATTTTATATAATTGTTATTTTAAGAAATGTTTAAAATATTAAACTAGCCTATAATCAATAAATTGGAGATACTGGAATAATTGTAACATATGTAATAACATATTGATTTATATCTGTCAAGATTTAAAAATTTTAAATTGTGTTAAGTTATTTTAATAGCATTAATGAGTAATGACTTAAAATGTTAAAACTACATTAAACATAATGAGTGTATTAAATATTTATTTTCATATTAAATTTAATTAATTGATTTGGATTTAAGATAAAAATATTACGCATTATGAATATTAACTATTTATAGTATAAATGTTAAACGTCGTTTAGGTTATACTGAAAATTGAATGCAATCGTAATAAATAAATAAATAAAAATAAAAACCGCTAAAATTAAGCAATGTAATTTATAAAATTACTTAATACTTAAAATACAATAATATTTCCGTAATACAATAAAAAATTGGGAAACAAATAACTTAACACATTAGATATTAGTTTTTGATTGTGATACTATATAAATACTCCTTTAAGACTAACTAAAAATGTTTGCAATCAAAATCAGTGGACTAATTGTGTTTTATTAAAAAATAAAATGTCACATATTTTTTCTCCATTAAAAAAAAAGTATTAATCAAACATATATACATTATTTGGAACAAAATCAACATAAACCATACTACTTTCCCTTTGTATAAACAAATATTAACAAATGAAAAAATGTTATACACAAGTAAAAATAATGAAAACTTATGATTTTGTTTGCAATTCCACATTGAAAACATATTTTATAAATTTTCTTAATATTTTCTCTATTTATAAGGAATATAATTTATTGTGTATACAATTCTCAGTAAAATAATTAGTGCATTAGTTATATAACGATAAAAGTATTTTTTTCCTTAGCATTTTTATATCAGCAATAGAAATATAAACACAGAGATATATATGTGTTATAATTGTATACAGTTTATCTTATATATATACACAATCTATATAGTTATACTACGATTTCGATACAACAAAAAATGTGATGTGACAAAAAATAAAATAAAAATAAAAGCTTTAAATATTTTTTTGTTTTTTAACAGGTTTAAAGTTTATCGAATAAAACGTTATATGTAACGATAGAACATGAACACATTTATTGTTAGTTTAAAGTTTAAAGTACGACTTGTGCTCGATATTTTTAAAGACAAAAACAACTCCTGTTTATATAAATATTTATTATCTATATGTGTGTATATAATATATATATATATATATATATATATATATAAATAAATATATTTATTTATTTATTCACATAAATTAACTAATGTAATTCTAAAAAAAAAAAAAAAACAAATTCACATCGTCACATAGTTTTATACTAATTTTACGTAAATAATTGATCTTTAATACTGCGAATGTTTAGCAAATCAATATGTTTGTAATTCGTCTCCTCCGAACAATAATTTTTTTGAAAATAAAAGTAAAATTATGAATAAATGTTTAAAGGTATTTTGAGAATTGGAAATGGTTTGGCAATGGAAATTTTATGTAAATTTGAAAGTAAGCCTAGATTTTTTTCAACATTCAGTACTGCCGTTCAAAAATTAATTCAAAAAAATAGTCTAAATTTTGCATTTTGGATATTCTGCGATAAGTTTACGCATGCATTTTTTTAGTAAAAAAAGACGTATTTTTTTTATAGTTTGATTTGTTTGAAATACTATTATATGGAATGAAAAATAAAATCTTGATTTAATTTTTTTTAGGTTATTTAATTATAAATTTTATCTTTGGAATATATGTTTTTAAATAATATTTGAAGTAAAAAATAATAATAATAAACAAATATTTGTATTTTTATAAATAATCAATTCGGTTTGGACGATGACAAAAAAAATTACCCTACAAAAGTTGCGGTATAATAAACAAGTTTATCGATGTTATATAAGTGTCTGCACTTAATATTTCGATAAGCTTAAACTTTTTTGATAAAATAGGGTGCCTCCTGTATTATAATGCTTAACAAATAATCTAAATTTGTTTTTATGTTTGATACATTAAATGTTTGTAAAATATAGTTATAATAATATTTTATTTTTAATCGAATGTACATTTATTTTTTTTTTATAAAATTTTATTTTTAGTGTGAAAAATGAATAATAATATCATTAGTAATTGGTTTTAGTTGAATTTAAGCAAAATGAGCAACTTATTTTAATAATAACCATGTTTAGATATAATTTAAGGACATTCAACATATTTAATGAAAGTTAAAAGAAAATATCAATACCATTATATTTGTCTTAATATAAAATCGAAGCATCAAACTATTAATTTTTAATCTATAATAACCAAATATAATGTATAATTTTAAATGTATATATATTTTTTGAATAATATCGTTATTCTGTACTTATATGCTCAACTTATAATTTTAACCTTCTTAACAAAAGAGAAATTTTTGAATTTTCATAAAATAGTTAAAAAAACTATAATAAATACAAAGGTCAAATCAAGTTTGATTTTAAATAAAGAAAATGAAAAATAATAATTATTGTTAATAAAAATATACTTATATTAAGCATTTCTTTATAAGCAAATTTTTAAAATATAAGAGTATTATTAAAGATAAATTATCAACTGGGCATAAATAAAATGATAATGTGTTCACAATGATATAAAATGACTCAATATATTTCAGTGCAAATAACTGTTTATTTAAGCTCTCGGTATTTTATTTTTAAATGCATTATATATCGTAGGTAGTTCTAAAACGTATAACCTGCACATTCAGTCGATAGTTTTATACAATCAAATTAATAGAATTCGATACAAGTAATTCAAAATTATTTTAGAAATTAAATTACTTTAACAGGTAGAAATGTTTTTTACTGACAAATATAGTTATTTACAAGTATAATTATATTCAATTTATTTTTACGATCTATTATTGTAAATTAATTTTATCTATTATGTATACATTGTCTTTAAAAATAAATAAATAAAAATAGGTTTATGTGCAATACAAATTTAGAAGAAAACAGTTTTCAAATATTTAATATTTAGATCATAAAAATATTAAATAATTACTCTGAATAAAAAGAATATTGGATAATTAACTATTATAAAATCATTTAAAGTGCTAAGAAGATTGTAATTTACATACAAAGAAATATTGGCTTCTATTAACAAATAACATTCCTTATTATAAAAATACAAAACTGTATCTCAATAAATGTATTTATAAGTATATTAGGTAATACCATTGATTAAAAGAATAAACTTTATTCTAAAATATCATGTTACCTAATTGAATGATACTTATAATATGATTTGTTGTTAAATAAAATATTAAAATATCTAAAAACCCTAAAAGTGTTGGCAGATATAAATCGTTTACATCCGAACAGGATTACACAAAACTCTCACAAACTGCTTCCAAAAATCAGCCGTTTCGAAATTAAATGTGGCTGAAAACTTTATGAAACAAACCAAAAGTCTGAGTATTCTTGAGGGTTGTGGTGGTGGTTACGAGCAACCAATCTCGGTCACACTGAAAAACAGTCAGTTATGTATATATATATATATATATATATATAATAATATATACGTACGTGTGTGTATCTATCCAACTATCTATATAATATGTATATATATGTGTGTGTATGTGATTTTAACCACAGTTTGGTTTGATTTTGTTAAAGACGGCAATCACATGTATTCTGAGATTTTTCCCAACATTTTACTGCCCTCCACGAATAATGCACATGTATACAAAACTGTTTTAAAGTTTATTCCTGTTTAGATCAATCTTTTGGTGGTAAACTTTTCGGTGGAGTAGGAAAAAATTTATATAATACTGCCGGTGACTTACGGAAGGGAAATACATATTCGGTTAGCGTCCTCGAGGATTCCCGGGGCACCCAATTTTATCATGTCAAAAGATTTTGATCGATAGACTCGGAACATATATAATTTTTATACAATAATTTTTTACGACACGTTTCGAATTTTTATTATAACACTTGTGATCTAATCAGTTGGATTCTCTTGCATGTACAATATTCGATTAATGTGTTATCATTTTGGTGGTAGAGAAGGAAAGTAATTGTTCCATTAATGTTTTTTTTTTCTGGAAGAGAAAAACCAAGGTATCATTTGCTTCAATTCGGATGTTTTTAATTAATATTTCTTCTGTTGTACGCGTATATTATGTTGATGTAGTAGATACAGGATTATCATCATGTTATTTTTTTTATCGAACAATTTATAACACTGTTTTGATTAACACTTATGAATTTATTATTATTCAACGATATTGATACCCAAGTTTTGTTTTCAAGCCATAAAATAAGTTTTGAGACTTATTTAAAATCAAATAATAAAATAACGATTTTTAATAAATTATTTTGCACTTAACAACCACTATTTTTTACTTAACTACAGAACTGCTCGATACAACGTAATTACTGATAATAATATGATACTTATATTTATATTATATTATACACTCATTATACTCACTTTGTACATAATCACCGGTCGCTGCATAATTTGCATCATAGTGTATATCGGTGATGTGCCAAAAGTATCCTGAAACAAGAAAAGATAAATTTTCATCCGATCCTCTGCTAGAACTTTGCGCCGATCCCTCGAGATTCATCGCCGCAACGTGGACGTCAGTGTTGCGGTGTATGAATATAAGAGGAGGGATCGGGAGATTTGGTCGTATGCTTGGTTGGAGGGTAGTTGATGTGAAGGTGTAGGGGACACACGGGTTTGCGCGCGCAGCTGCCGTATTATTATACGCAATACGCGGAGTGCACGACGCTGGAACCAGACGAAGTAGCCGGATTCGGGACGAGCTACGCCGCTCCCCCGGGAGAGCTGGACGAAGGGCTTACAATGTGTCACGGATTAGAGCAAATTAGTATTAATAACTTTACGGGCAATGCATATTGAACGCGCTTGGGACATATACACATAAACACAGACGCATACACATACAATATAAATATATATATATATATATATATATATATAGTATGAACGCGTGTGCGGTGGATACTCAGTGTGGCGAAAGCGGTGAATTGCGTGGCAGTCGGTTCACCGCCACCTCGTGGTAGATGGGACGAAACGTAGAGGGTGTGAAGAGTTGGATGAGGGTGAGAGAGAGCAAGAGCTAATGGGAGAGATGACATGCCGGGATGATATGGTGTAATATGGCTTCCAACTCCCAGCAATTTATAAATATCAATTATTTCATTCACTTTTAGAAGGTTGGAATATGTTTCAATCGATGCCTTCTTCCTCCACCCACAATATCGCACTGCAGTTACCGTCAGAGCAACAACAAAATAATATAACCACTATAAAAAGCAATTATTTATGATTTTCTTCTGCCACCTCGACCAACTATGTCATTTCATCTATAGATATAGTAACCACGGTATAGGTTAAATTAACTGCGATTAAATTAATCCATAAATTATTACAGACAATGTGATAATATAATATAGGCGTGATAATATTCGTAATATTGCGAAACTTGCTAACAATATTATGTTAAAAGTGAAAACCAGTGATTATGTTTCGTGACAAAATAGTGCAATAGACATAACCATGGTTTATTAAATATAAATTAAAATATTGAATACATTTATTGACACTGAAGAATCGATTGCTAATTGAAAAATATCGCCGTAAAATTATTTTTATCGACAAATCAAGAATATTGTTTATTTATTACAATACAATATAGTAATGTCTACGGTACTCAATTTTATACAGTTTTTAATTAAATGGTTTATTTATACAATTATTTTCATAACTATAACATAGTTGAAAAAATAAATATATAAGACATTGTGTTCAATAAATAATAATAGGACACTTTATTTAACTGTGCACTTGGTTTTTATATTTCTCCACATCTTGACTGGTATTATTATTTTAGAATAAATTGCATTATTTTTAAAAGTTAAATATAAATTGCATATAAAAATTTCCAATCCAATGACCACAGACACAAATATAAAGGAAAATATTTAAAGTAAAAAATATACATTTGTTATTACAAAAATAATAGCTTCCTAAATTAACTTAAAAACTTAATTTTCAACCACCTAAAGAATTTTTTCTAATAGATCATTTCATTTGTTAAATTATAAAAAAAATATAGTCAACAATTTTTAAAAATAAATTAAGTATAACATTTAAACGTATACATGATTATTAGATAGTTAGATTTTACAGTAATAAGTTGTACATTGATATGCTGCGAATCATAGTGTTGGTCGTATTTGTTTTAAGTTTATATTTAATTAATTATTTTATTTGTCTCATAAATGTCATCAAAAAAAGAAAAAAAGGCAAGTGAATACTGCTATGTTGTACAGTATGTGTTAAATGGTTCACAGTGATGGATGTGTTAAATTTGAATTCAATGATATATCATTGTAAACGAAAAAAGATTCTAAGCGAAGACGGTCTTTCAGCTAATATAATTAAGTTTAATTCATATAATGTTTTTTTGACATTGCATTTAAAATAATTTATTTTACTATTAGTAATATAGTATTTTGAATTGATTATTGTAAAAAAACGTTGCATTTCAAAATACCTTTGTGAGAATAAAATATAATAATATGAGTAAAAGTTTCAAGTCCTCAAAAATAATGTTTTTGAATAAATATTTGACATCGTTAGTCATAATATTTAAATACATGATTTAATAATTTTAAATTAAAATGTTTTAAAAAATTACACTTTTACATGCATTTTTTAGATTTTTTTTAATTCAGTTAAGAATTACTTATAAAGTACTTGGAATTGAATTGTCAAGATTTAGATATAAAAGCTACACAATTTGATAAACTACAAAACAATTCAAACTTTTGTAATTTTGTCAATATTTGAACTTTAAATTTGTATAAAAATAAATTAGGAACATTGTGTGGCATAGTTTTTGATTCAATTTTCTTGATTACCTATTAAAAAAAAAAAAAAAAAAAACACTTGATATTTTTAATTCTACCTTATAAAGTACAAACTAAGACCAATTTGTCATAATAAACAACCATCAAATTTTAAGATAAAAACATTTTTTTAAAGTTATTATAATTATTAAATGTACAGATATAAAAAACAGAGGTTTCATTGTAAAATCATAGTTGCAAATAATGAAAATATAATATTGGGATTTACAAAATCAAAATTAATATTCAAAAATAAATTAATGTACCTAAAATATAATCATATATTAGGTAGTATAGAAAAATAAATAGAATAATTGGTTTCAAGTAGAACATAATTAAATATTAAAAATATTTATCACCCAAATCTATTTACAACAATTTATGATTTAAGTATAAATAATGTTTTTGAGATATTGTATTGTTAATCTTAAGTTTAAATAACTGTAATCTCTAGATCAAGAAAACATCTATCATATGTTTGCACTTATTTAATATTTAAATTTTTTTTTTAATTTTGCATGGTATAAAAGCACAGAAAACTCTTTTCCATGATAATTAGAAACTTCTAAACGTTTATTTATCACAGGATTAAGAGAAAATAATACATTTATAATTAAACATAAACTGTTGTTATTATTACGATTGTAACTTTTTTATGGTAGAATTTTGATTAAATTTTGCTCAGAAAAATCGCTGGTACTAACGAGGTGTAATAGCGTTGCTAGTACATTAGACTTAATTTGATTATTACAAAAAAAAAGTTTTATTTTACATTTTTAATGGCATTAATACATTTTCATAATTTGATTCATGTCACTGTACTGTGTAATTTACTAAGTAAATTAAATTAGAATAAAAGTTTTATTTTAATTAATAAAGAAACAAACAAAAAGTCTTAAGTTATTGCCAGCGGGTTATTTATCAAAATTTGAAAAAAAGAAATAAAAATACAATAAATGATCATGAATAAATGTCACAGATAAATAGCATAATATCATTATTATAAACAAATATGCAATAGAATGGTATACTATAAAAAAAAATATTTAAAATTTACACAATGTTATTTTGTAGAATCTGTATACCAGACTCATCTAGCCACTAACATATATTAAAAAAAAAAAACAAAAAAAAACAAATTCCTAACCATTATGAAGCACAGTTTTTCACGTGATTATTGTTTAATAAAATGTATATTCAATACATTTCATAGTATAATTTTACATTATCTTGGACATTTTATTAATTGGTTATTTATGATTATTACAATGTTGCATTTACAGTTTACACGTTACCTCATAATAACTAATTACAAATATACATATACAATCATATAAATACATGTATAAATGGATCGAATGTGTCATCAAAAAAACACATATTATGAATCCCTAAGTTAGTCATACATAAGATATTGGGTGATATTGTGTAAATAAAAGTAAGGATACCTAAAATTATTAATACGCGATTATGTAAAATCATTTTTTGATTTTTGTTATTCTATGTCGAATATAATGTGTTAGCTCCATTTAATATTATCGTTGAATCGGATGATTTAGAATCATTTTTCTCTAAATAAATCAATAAAAAAATGCTATCTATAGTGGTATAATATAATATTATACAATAGAAACTATTTTACTAAGCATGCTCACTTCTCGATTTTCTTCAATAACAATAATTAATCAGAATTTTATTTATTTATTATTTGTATAAATACTTAATAATTATAAATTAAAAATTTTTAAATTTTTGTACTACCTACTCAAAAAGTGTTCTACATAGTAAAAAACGATTGTTTATTTTTCAAATGAGAACCCTTTTCTCATCTATAAATTATGTATACGAAATTTTGTTTTGAACAATTTTACATGTGAAAGAAGAAATTCAAGCTAATAGTTTTTGAGTTATTTAATTTCGTATACTGAAAATTATTATTTTAAAAAATGGGTTTAAAAGATACGAAGTAAGGGTAATTTTAATATGTTAGTAATTTTTACTAGTCTATCAATATTTATAAAATTACAAATTATATTTTATATTTTTTTGAAACCATTATAATGAACATTTATCATCGTTGTAAAATAAATATTTGATTAACTGAAAAACTAATGTTTTGAATTTTGAACTGGGTATGTGAACATTTAAAAAATTAATTATTTAATAAATAATTAACTGTAAAAATGTAAAAAGAGAGGAGGGAATTTTGTTTAAATAGTAGAACAAAAAATTTAAATCATTTAAAAATATAATCTTTAAACTATTATTCACAAATTAAAAGTTGAGGATTTTAATTAATGTATTATGAAATAAAAATGAGAATGAACATACTTAATAAAACATTATACATATATATATATTATAATAACATTAAGTTTACAAAGAAAACAATGGGCACCTAACTCACTATTTACAACATGCTGTTAACAATATTAATCAACGGTGGAGACGTAATGAAAATCAAACTAAACTTACCGATAAATATTAAATACTCAAAACGTGTTTAATCCAGCTCACAATATCTTATATAGTCGTGACTGGGTTGCCAATTATCGCTACGACGACTTAATGCGAATAATCTATCACTTAAATATACGTATTTACGGAAAAAAGAAC